CAGACTATCAGTCCTGAGACAATGTCAGAAAGGGAGACCCATGTAGGGGACATCAAGAGGCCCAAGAAGGGTGTGATGGTCATTCATTCTAGAGGGTGGCACAGAACAGAGTTTTAGAGCCCCAGAAGGGTAAAGAAAACAGCATGGCATGGGGAGTTCGCAACCCTTGAAGAGAGCCTCTCTGCAGAGAGATGAACAGGGATGATGTGCCAGAGCCCAAACACGATGAAGAAGAATGTCCACACTGAGCGGTATTCTGGCCTGAAGGTGTCAAAACCCAATGAGGTTGATGAGGGGTCTCCATGGAGAAGCAATTCAGCATAAGGTCTCAGAGTCTGAACATGAACAAAGACCCTAGGGAAGAGCAGCTTATCACAGGATGACAGAAGCTAAGCAGTGTAAGGAGGGAATCCTGGCGCATGGGGGCGGAGGGGTGATCCAGTGTGGGGAGTCACAATTCAAGCAGGGTAAGGAGGGCATCCTACAGCCTTGCATGGGATGCTCAAGCCTGAAGAGAGGGTCAGCAAGTGTTCATGCACAAAGAAAGCCAACATGGGATGTCAGAACTCACTTGTGGTGAGGAGGGTATAAATGTGGGGAAGGGAGGGCGCCTGGGTGGCTCAGACGGTTAAGCGTCTGCCTTCAGCTCAGGTCACGATCCCAGCGTCCTGGGATGGAGCCCCACATCGGTCTCCCTGCTCAGCTGGAAGCCTGCTTCTCCCTCTCCTACTCCCCGTCCCTCCTTGTGTTCCCTCTATGTCAAATAAATTTAAAAAAAAAAAAATCTTTAAAAAAAATAATAAAAAAAAATAAATGTGGGGAAGGGGTGACAATGGAAGATAGGTTACATAGAAGGGGACTGAACAAATAAGAAAACATTAAGGATAATGGGAGTTTCTCAATGTCACAAAAGGGAGTTACAACTACTAGAATAAAACCCTATAGTATTAGATTAGTTTGGAAGTTATCAGTATAAATTAGTTTCAGTATCTACATAGATGTAGGCAGGTAGACAGACAGAAGGCAGATATTTATATATATACACACACAAATAGTTTGTAGGTCTATACACAGAGAGGGACCAAGAATGGTGACATTTCAGTAACATAAACAAACCTACAGCCCAGATCATGGCTTCAAAGTATTTTCCAGTAAAAGGAATCAGAGCTCCTTAGCTTCTTAAAGAAATGGCTGTTCCCAACCCTGGTGTAGGAAAGTTAAAGATGAGCTGTAACATCAGATTATGCCAAGAAGTATTCCAAAAATGATGGAGATGTGGCAAAAGCTCCAAACCGTTTCCACTGGCAAAATCTGGGATAATCTGAACACCAAAATAGATAATGGTGTGGTAGGCAGAATAATGACCCTCAAAAATGTCTATGTCCTAATCCCTGGAACCTTCAAACATACTAGGTTATACAGCAAAGGGTTGCTAATCAACAACCCTATATAGGGAGATTATCCTAGATTATCTGATGGGCCCAATGGGATCACAAGATTCATTAAAAGTGGAAGACAGAGGCAGAAGGTCAGAGGGAGATATGACTAAGAACAAAGGTCAGAATGACAAGCTGCAGGAAGTACTCAACCCACCATTTCAGGCTTTGACAGAAGGAGAGCCATAAGCCAAAGAATGTGGGTAGCCACTGGGACCTGGAAAAGGCAAGGAAACAGATTCTCCCCTAGAGCCTCCAAAAAGGAATGCAGTCCTGATTTTTGCCTTTGAAGCCTTTGATTTTAGTCCTTGATATTGGCCAATCAGACCCGTGTTGGACTTCCAATTTATAAAACTGTAAGATGATAAATTTGTGCTGTTTTTAAGACAACAAATTTGTACTGATTTGTTACAGCAGCAACAGAAAACTAATACAGATGGTAACAGTATAATCCATCAGATAAAATAGGTAATAGTGAGTCAATACAGATAGACAGATATAAACACAGGAAGATGATAAGAGAAGGTTTGATGGGGATTAAGATATCTACATGGTTCAAAGCACTTACCCACAAAATATTTTTTTTTCTGTTGAAGGATTTCATATAATCAGCAGTTCCACAAAACACTTATTAAGAAAGGGAAAATAAAATAACTGCCCTATAATCTTTTAAAGTGGGAAGATTAAGAAATTTATTTATTTTTTTAAAGATAGACTGATCTGACAGAGAGAGAAAGAGAAAGAGAGAGCACAAGCAGAAAGAGAAAGAGAGCACAAGAGCGGCAGGCAGAGGGAGAGGGAGAAGCAGGCTCCCCGCCAAGCAGGTAGCCCAATGTGGGGCTCCATCCCAGGGTCCTGGGATCATGACCTGAGCCAAAGGCAGACTCTTAACCAACTGGGCCATCAAGGCGCCCCAAGATAAGAAATGTAAAGAGAGACAGACTGCTTCATATTAAAGGAAACTAAAGAGATAACAGCAACTAAATGCAACACCTGATTCTGAATGAGATCCTTCTGCTATACTTTAGAACATTACTGGGATAGTACCTGAAACCTGAAAAAGGTCTAAGTATTATATGGTAAGAATGTGTCATTTTCAATTTTCTTTTTTTTTTCATTTTTCATTTTCTATTTTTAAGAGCCGTGTTGTGGTTATGTAGGAGACTGTAGAAAATACCCCGTAAAGGGAAGAAAGGCTCTTTCCTTTCTGTCTGGTGGCAGCCATCTGCTCAAAGCTAAGCCAAGGTGGGCACCTACAGTCCATCCAGGAGCAAGCTACGGAGGAAGCAGCAGTCGGCTGTAATGCACTTTCTTCTCAGGGGGCGCTGCGGGCAGTACCCCCAGCTCTCTATGCTCCATAGGGACCCTGCCCAACCTGGTCCAATAAAGCGCACAGACTAGGGTACAAGGCCAAGCAAAGTTACGTCATATGTAGGAGTCATGTGCAACGTGGTGGCCACAAATGCCCAGGTCCTAAGGGTGTAACCTATGGCAAGCTTGTCCACCATGGTGTTAACCGGCTAAAGTTTGCCCAAAGCCTTCAGTCTACTGCAGAGGAGCAAGATGGACACCACCGTGGAGCTCTGAAAGTCCTGAAAATTCTTACTGGGTTGGCGAAGATTCCACGTACAAATTCTTTCGGTTATCCTCACTGATCCATTCCATAAAGCTAGCAAAAGAAATCCTGACACCCAGTGGATCGCCAAACCAGTCCACAAGCACAGGAAGATACAAGAACTGACATCTGCAGGCTATAAGAATGTGGCCTTGGAAAGGGTCGTAAGTTTCACCACACTACTGGTGGTTCTTGGTGTGCGGCATGGAGAAGATGTAATACTCTCTAGCTCCACCATTACTGCTAATGTAAGTAATGTTTGTAAAATTAAAAGTGTTCCTTGTCTGTTAAAATTAGCTGTCTACAGAATGTTCCATGAATGCACTGTCAAATTATGAAAGTTAAAGTGCAATAATGTTTGAAGACTCTAAGTGGTGGTATATCTTGTTTCTTATAAGATAAATGCTTTTGTCTTTGCTTTATCTTATTAGGGATTTTATACGTCAGTGTTTAAAATGCTATTTGGTATAACAGGTATAATATAAGTTCTGTAAAAGTGGAATGCAGAAGCTAGCCATGTAGATTTGCTGGTGCATGTAATGAAACCTACAGCTTCACTGAGATGATGTAATGCTCTACTGGTTTACTCTCAAATGGCTATTTTTAGGGGTTTGGTAAGACCACACTTTTTAAAATTGGATTTTTCTGGAAATGTGAAGAATACCCTAATCTTTCATATATATATAAAAATATATATTTTATGGGCGCCTGGGTGGCTCATTTGGTTGGGCGACTGCCTTCGGCTCAGGTCATGATCCTGGAGTCCCGGGATCGAGTCCCACATCGGGCTCC